CTGGAGTTTAAGATTTTGATGGAGAATTCGGTTTTAAAGGGAAGGGGTATTAGAGGTTTAAACGATTCGCAGAAGGTTAACGTGTTGTTGAGCCTGTGTTGCTTATCACTGCTTTGTATCTTTTGAGCATACATCTATGCAGAATATTCTTGGTAAAATACGATGTTTTGACTAAATTTGAAGAATTAATTGTTTTAAAATCCATGTCGCATTTTTTTGGAAATTTTAGTTTCATGTATCCTCATAAATTTTCAAGTGGCTAACTGCAAAGGCTAATTCAATATCTGAGTAACATTTACGGAGACACAGCTACGATCATTTGAATAATCTATCTTTTTGCAATTTCCAACTTTGAGTCTTTAAGCGCTTCAATTTTTGTTAATACTGATAAGGATTCAAATTTGTATTTGTAAAAGCACCCCAAGGCATGCATTTTTGCAGGTTGTTTCAGTTATCCGTTGAAGAAGTCTGCTCAATGACGTTGACTTGACGTTGTTAATCAATCAATCCACCAAAATTCGATTTTTCTACTATACTTAATAATGTCTCAAATATTCGATAAAATAGAATTTTCAACATACATTTAGAAAACTATATTCACCCCTTCAACAAAACTAATCATTGATGTATGTAAGAAATATGAATCAAGTATATCTTCCTTCATGTAATGTCCTTTGTTAGCAGGATTAATATCGAACAATAGTATTCAAGTAAAAGAAAAAGCTTCAACAGAGAAAATTACGTTGTCCCAATTCTCGTTCATATTTTGCGAGTCCAAAAGATTCGTTCTATAACGTGGCTTTCACAAAGTGAATGTATCTTTCTTGCGCTTTAGAACTTGATGTTACAAGAACACAGATGAATTTAATTTCATGCATACGCAAACGTCTAAAACGCTAAAGATAAAAGAAGTTATTTTTACATTGTTATAACGATAATAAAATTCACGATGAAAAAAAGTAAATTTTTATTGAATTAAAAACATGTTTGACAATACAGTTGAAAATGTGTCAAAATCATATTTTTAATCTATTTATTTTTCTTATAGGTTTTCGTAGTCACAACGCGTTTTATAACGCGTTTAACCTTTTGCGCCGGAGAAACGTGTCTACTACGCACGTCGAGACATTTTTATTCCAAAATTGTCATTGACGTCTTATATACATTGTCTCGTTGCATTACGTATGCTAGATTGTTTTGAAATGTACCACACTGTATAAAATGATTGATAAACAAACCAGTCTGCATGTCTGCGTAAAATAGGTACAACCAAAGTTCTTCGCGCGACACTTTGCCAAATCTCTAAATTAATTTCCAGCGCAAAAACTTAATCTCCTTCTATCACTTCCTCGCGAAGTTCTTAAGATTCTACTGTAAAGGATAAGTATTCAATTCCATCATGACTCTAAACTTATGCGGCGAGTATCAGCAAAAAGAAATTTGTAAGAACATCCGTAATAAACAAGGGTTGCAACAACCCTCGCTCTTTGACCTACTAGTATGACTTATCAAATAATGTAAACTAAGGGTCACAAAATAATATACGCGAAATTTGAATAAAAAATGTAAATATAAATTTGAATAAAAGTGTAAATATATTAACGGAATTAATAAAATAACGAACATCCTTAACCAAAGAAGAATTCACTTGCATATGCATTGAGACAGAGGACACGTAACGTTGAAACAACCAATACATAGAGCTTGTAACATACGAGCCTCAATAAATGTCAAGCAATTTTTACTCAATTTTCTTAGAACTTTATCCTGAGACTAGGTACACGGTCTCATAAAAGTAAAGTTGTTATACTTACGTGATTATACCTTATTAAACTATACACGATTTTTGTATATTCACGTCATTAAAGAAATTGGAAATAATTACCCAGAATTTTTTAATGAACCCTTTAATGTCTATCTTATCTATAATTCATTTTTCATAATAAGAATTAATTGCTGAAATTATTTCATTATTATTAACGATAGACGATTGTAATTTAAAAAATTCGTTAATAGATACTTAGCTCTTAGTTGTTAGAAATAAAACAAACGTTGGATCTGCACAAACTATTAATTACATCCTATAGATAATATGTTACATACATGTACATATCTAATTAACCTTTCAAGAAATAGAGTAAATTAAAGAGAATCTGAAGTCAACAGAATCTAAAACCAAAAAGGAAAGTAAAATCATTTAAGATGAATGTAAAGAAACCGTTTAAGATTGTATTATTGTATTGCCAATAATTTAAGTACATGTAGCTCGTCAATAAATATGTATAATTAATAACCAACGGTTTCGAATACTAGAATATTAATTTAATTAGAAGACAATCGTTTACTTCTCGATATATATTAGAACTGCAAAAGTCCATTATTTTTAATACTTGAGTTTAACCTGTAAATTTCTTTAACACTAGGACAACCTAGCATTTATTAGGATTGATATATAGTCCTTATAAAGACGTAACAATACATTCTTCCAATTTCTTCAAACATTTGTTATAGTATCTAAATAAAATTATTCATTTTCAAAATCATTTCGGATATTCAATATTTTCAAAATATCAATGATTGCAAAATAAGAAAACTAACATCTCTCATTTTAACGGGTACACTAGTTCCAGTGCTAAAACTAAATTTGAAAAATTAGCTAGATCGGAAAATGTCCTGAAACGAGAACGAAATTATATTTCGGAATAATACTTGAACACTTACATGAAACAATAAAACTTTCTGTTGAGACTAAAAATACTGGATTTCTTCCCGACCCCCCTCATATTAGCGTTAATTTTTAACAAAATGAATCTCGTGACGCGATTCATCGTAACAACTATCGCGCATAACTGGAACGAAACGTGTACCATTATTATATTAAGATACAATATCCAGATAGGATGTATCGAGTGCAAGTGAACGTCGTTAAGAAGACTAGCAAGGTTCGATCAGTGATGGAGCGTGACGTAAAACGTGCATGGAAATGTCACGAGCGCTTTCTAAAGGAGCCGGAAAAGGCGACATCGGTCAACATCGATCCAATGTACATGTCATAGAAAAAATCGTTCGGCAACCGATCGTTTATTTGCCCAGCATCTTATTTCACGAGAGTACTTGCTTTCGATTTGATTCTTTATTCTTTTAATTTCCCCTCGCTCCGAGAAGCTCTGCGCAGCGTTTCGTTTTTTATTTTATTCCCGGCACTCGTCCTTCTTCCGTCTTCGATCCTGCAGGAGGCATCCGTTCCGCCAGCTTTCACGAAAATGATAGCTGCGCTTCTCCTCCGGCATGGTAGCCACAATAAAGAGATGAAATCCGAAGCCAGGAATGACGGTAATCGATCGTTGCCACGGGATTGAGCGATCGAAATCGGCCGTGTAATAAGCGACGCTGCGAAGTTATTTTAATGTAATAGTTGTGCGTGCACGGCCTGATCGTATCTAGCGGTCCATTTTGTGTCTTCATCTCGTCGGCGAGCTTTAATGTTCCGCGGAGTATGCGTTTTATTGAATCATTATGTAACCAGCGCAAATTTCGTAACTTCATCGAGTCATATTATTTTCTAACAATGTCTTTAATTCTAACTACAATGTCCTACAATATCCTTGTAAAACCTCAATATCGAATGATGAATGACGACAATAATTTTGCGATTATTTAATCCTCGTGTTCTTATAGCAAGAATTATTGATTCCGAACCAAAACGGCGATTATAAATTATTTATCGGATCTTTATAAACTGCTTCGTCAAATACGAAAAGTTGCTATTTCACTTACCGCTCATATACCCCGAAACTAAAAAAATGTCCTTGACGATGGTAATAACAATTACATTATAAAATAAACAATTACAAGTACTTACGTCGCCCAGCGCGACGCAAGCCAGGACATATTTTAAATTAAAATCGAGCCGCTGGTTAACCATCGGGGAAACATAAAAAGTAAAAATGGCAAAAAGCGTCGCAAGGCGGAGACCGTAACTTGGCATCAACAATTTCCAGTTTATGACAGGCATGATCACCGGTTTCACCAAACCCGACACTTTCTTCTCGCAGAGTAGCGCTCGATTCCCTGAAGAAATTTCCATTACGTTTTCATTAATCTAATAAAATAATAAGACAACAGGGCGGCGCGCAGGATACCCTTTATTTAGCGGTGTGGCCAGGACAGAGCGTGTATTTACCACGTGACGTTAATCGATCCAGCGCGTCGGTGATCGTCAATTAAAGCAAGCCGACCAGACGAGGACGCGCGGCACGAATTCGTTAAAAAATTCGGTTGCTGGAACAGCTGCGATGCGCGCCCGGTAACTGGAAACGATTTTGGCAGGTGACCAGGGAGCATCGACACCTGCTCGTCTCAACGAGACTTCGTCAATGCGACCGCCTAATTTATATTTCCCTATACCGGCTACCCGAGCCGGGTAACTGCTTAACGATTTATCGCGCGAATCGATCAGCAAGATTTAAGGAAGATACAATATGGCCGACGGCCGTACAAGCTCGCGGGAAATGATTTGTTTGGAGATCCAGTGAAACGAATGTCGCCATAATTATTGGGACATTGTGATATTGATTTTCGACGAGTGGCTGAATTTAATTGGCGCTCACTTTGCGTCTCGGGTGTTTTATTAAACTGCGAGAGACACTTGCGAAAACTTTGTGAACGCAAATTGATAATCGTAAACGTATTTTATTTAGACCAATCTCGTGCATCATTAAGCAATACGCTAGTTTGTTAAATAAACGTATTCTAATTTTGGAATACTTCTTCTTTTCTCGAAAACAAAAAGGTATGTTAGAGAACCGGGAATTGTTAGATTTTTTAGGGAATATGGTATTTTGATAAATATTTTCAAATAAGTTCAAAAGTTAGTAACTCGTATGAGTTAAATTTTAAAAAACAAATTCAAAGCTTTCAAGAAATTTCGTACAACATATTGTGTAATAAGTAAAATTACAAATTAGATAAATGTTCTTTTTTTAATTGCCTGTTTACAGATATCCAGAATCGAGACTAGCGAAATTGTTCAACGGCAGCATCCCCATCGTCCTCGACTCTCTGAAGCAGCATTATTTCATCGACAGGGACGGCGGCATGTTCAGACACATATTGAATTTTATGAGAAACTCCCGACTGCTGATACCTGATAATTTCGCCGATTTGGATTTATTGCTGGAGGAAGCGCGATATTTCGACATCGCACGTAAGAGGAACCTCTTCGTTCTTCGTGTTGTTTCTCCGATACGCCGTCCCCACCGATTCTTTTTTATTAGTTGTTAATCAATATTATGAAAGCAACCGTTCCGTTAAATTAAACAAGAAGAAGGCACTGAAATTCATGAGAGCCGGTATTACTTAATCTCCGACGAAAATCTGAATGGTTGCTGGACATCGTGAATACACCAGACGGACAACTTCCTCGGCTTCTGTGCCGAGGCGAAAGATCACCGTGTATCGACGATAAATCATGTTATCTGAACTTCAGAATCTCTCCTCAGATCATTTTTCCTCCCATTAACTGCCAATACCAGCAGCGCAGAAAGTTCATATTATGCTGCATTAAACGGCAATATCTTGATAACCACGGGACACGACAAAAACTCGAGCCTCTCAAAATTCCAGTGCTTCTGATATCGCTCTATCTCCTTCGGTGTATGCTCAACCTTTTACTGAGGGGAAAAAGTAACAGTAATGATTACACTTTTCTCTTGATACTTTTAAAATATTTTAGATCTCTAACACAAGCAACTCACATATTTTAAATATTTTGAATATATATTTACATAGTATATAGAAGTAAATATATAGCGAATGATGTTTTCACTCCTTCACGCGAACAATTGTTGATAAAACGGATATTTGTCAGATATTTTCTTGAGAACTATTTTTAATATAGATTTCAATAAATTTCGAAAATACTTTGTAATTTGCCAAACTACGTCATCCTGACTTCTTGCCTTATAACATTAAATCAGAGTTATAGTGAAAATTTCAAGCTGAGTTCAATACATATGAATGATATTTTTCTATTATTAATATTTAATCTTTAACGAAAAAGTAAACTTACAACGAACATAGAGTCCTTTTTTTCTAACATATTATCAGAAATAATTTCATATAACCAAAAATCGTAAAGCAGAGATTTAATCCATTAATCGGATGAATACTCGACTGATTTCCAAACAGACGCAAATAACACGGAACAATAGCGATTTGAAGCGATTCATTTCACAAGGAATGCAACTAGAATTTAATTTATATTTCTGTCTACACCTGTCCCTCCATTTATGCGGCGCATCCGTTCTACGTAGATTCATTTTACGCGAATGAAAATCGCGTAAACAGAGTCTATCAGTAGAAAAGAAAACAAAATATCCAAAAGAAAAGCTGATATCAATTCTAGAAATATGTATTTGTCTCACATATCTTAGCAGAAAGATAATAATAATGAGATTTCAGAAAACAAATAAATCGCTGTCACTACTCAAACTGCGTAAATTGATATCTCGTATAAACGATACACGTAGTGTTCGAATTTATCGCGTAAAAGAAGGGACGTATACATATTATGACATAATCTAACTCAAAGACATCTAGATAAATAAACGAAGGAACTGAAAATCGATCAAAGAAAAGATAAATATTACACTCGTCATCCTCAGTTAATAAATGAAATGTTAGGTTGGTAAGTAATTAATGTCGGTTTTCAAACTTTATCTTTAAACCCACATACCTCGACTCAGAATAAGTTTTTCTAATCAAATTAAGATCCATTGCAATTGATACATTTTTGCCAACAAACGATCAGTCATTTGATTTCAGTAACGTAAAATTTTGGTGTTCTGGAATTGATCAATTCTTTGAACGCATTCTCAGCAGCTGCTGAGTTGGTAAATATCTTCCCTTGCAAGTACTGTAATGCTCGCTTAAATTCCACAATTTCTGGTCCCAACAGTGGAATTTAACCGAGCAGAAAAAATAGGAAGAAACTATTTGCTTCCGGGAATTGGCTCAAGCACAGCCTGACAAAAGCAAAGAATCGATATAGTGAGCGGAAGCGGAATAGACGCATCCATCGAATATCGGGAGTCAAAACGCGGAACTTTAAAGAAACGCTGCGTGCGTTAAATATACACATGCATTGAAAAAAATTTTAATTGTCAAATTTTAACTTTACCTTTTCAAATGTAATGCCAGTGACTTTCTGTGATTGGTATAATTAAAATGAGTGCAAACACGATGGAAATTGAATTGGTTTTAACGACATAACATATTGAATGTCGCACGATTTCACAAAGTAAAGTACACAAAACGGATAGAACTTAATATTAAATCATTTGATTAAATTGCATTATTATTACTGCATATTCATCGAGCTGAATGTTTCCGCATTAGTTAGCATTATTCGTAACATAGGAATGTTTGTAGATAATCATCGTTTAAATGAATGAACTATAGTAATTCGATTTGATTGGGGGTCACCAGTGACTACGGTATTCGGCGTGTTAATGTAATTAACGAAACTAAAGCTTCGTTTTCCTCAAATCGATAAAATTAAACCGATTATGTCGTGTTTGAACTCATTTTAATGAGAATAATCTCAACATCCTACCGGTACTACCATTCAGGAGGTACGATTAAAATTATTGCAATTGAAATGTTCTTCATTGCATGTTTATTCCTCTTATTGTATTCATTTTCATCTCTGTCTATTGGGATCACGTTACACTGGGCTTGAGACATCGAGTAGTAGGAGAAGAGCAGAGATGATGCAGTGAAATTAAGCTGATCAGACTTTTGTAGAATGTAAGCGAGCATCACTGTAGCAGTTGAGATGTTTGAAAAATTGGTAATCGGTTAGCGACAGGTCCGGAGAATATGCTGGATGAAGTAGAGTTTCATAACCCAATTTGTTCAACTTTTGTAGCGTTGATTATGCGACACGTGGCCGAGCATGGTCATGTAGAAGATTAGGCCCTTCCAATTGACCAATGTTGGATTTAACCGAAATTTTGTTAACCAATGTTGTACCGAGGATTCATTCTCGGTATCTTGCCCAAATGCATTATTTGGGCAAGTCGTTTCCGCAGTTTTATGACCCTACCCATTTTCTAAGTTAATAGCATAAAATGACCACAAATTAACCGTAAGAACGAAAACATACCTATCAGCAGATAGAACGACATCTGCACTGTAAAATTATATTATAAGGTGAACAGAATGAAGTGAACTGTTCTCCCAAAACCAAGCGTCAAAGTTTGAAAACTCGAAAACCGACATTAATTTCTTACCAACCTAAAACTAATCAATTCCCCAAACCTAATCCAAAATCCTGTTGCAGCCATGTGCAGGCAATTGGAGCAAATGAAGAAGGAGCGCATAAAAAATGGATCGACGACGACGTCGTCCTCCTCCCCGAGTCCGCCGCCAGCGAACCAACTAGGCAATCGAGGCTCGGGGTGCACGACAGTGCCTTGTAACCGGGACTCGGACAAGCTCCGCGGCAACGAAGGGAACTGCAACTACGAGTGCGTCGCCCTTCACGTCAGCCCGGATTTAGGGGAAAGGGTGATGTTGTCGGGTGGTAGAGCGCTTTTGGATGAGGTCTTCCCGGAAACGACTCAGGCGGTGATCGACGCTCGTTCCGGCGTCGCCTGGCATCAACAGGACGCCCGTCATGTAATCAGGTTCCCGTTGAACGGCTACTGCAAACTGAACTCCGTGCAGGCCATCACCAGGCTGCTGAACGCGGGATTCCGCGTGGTAGCCAGCAACGGAGGCGGCGTCGAAGGACAACAGTTCTCGGAGTACCTGTTCGTCCGACAGGCCGTCAACACTTGACGGAACACTGCGCACCAGCGCAAAACTAGCTCGAGAACGGTCCGTTGTCTTCAACGGGACCACGATCCCGAGTGAATTGTCCAGGAGAAGAATAGAAGAAGACTGTCTCACGGATGATCATCTGATCGAGCGGAGCACCACGCAGGTGGTTCGGCTCCCGGGGATCGTTCAAGAGATCCCGTGTATCAATCGCGAATTGGAAATCCCTAGACGACACGACTCACTTTTACGCGGGTACAGGATACATGGAGATTAAAGGCAATTTTTGAAATTGTTCATGTTCCTGGGCAAAGTATATGGAAGTTGCGATGACTTTTTTTGTAGCTGCTGAGACGTTCTTCGTCTTACTTTCAGATAATCCTCTTTGGAAAAATTTTATCCTTCTATGTCCCGGCATAATTCTATGTAACCCTGTATGTTTTTCGAAGTATACTTTTCATTCAAATGCTACTGCAAATTAGCCAGTTAACTGCGTTTGACGAATATACACGTTAGTTTAAAACTCTCAGTAATACTAATTTTTTCAATGATGAATTATTTATTTTTACAGATAAACATGTAATTCTTCTTCGTATTGCTTTAGTTTTTCGTTAGAATATATTATAGGTGTGTTTGTCCTGCATTTGACTAGTGTACAATTCATTAATTCGATTTTATTGTGAGCACAATGAGAGATTTTTTTAACTAAACTCCACAGTTAACAGGTTAAACATGTTAGATTTTGTAAAAAAAGTCGTTTAATTCAATTTAAAAAGTTGGTAAATAACTTCAAAAGATTGTGTTATTTATAGGGAGCAACAAAAAATAAGAATAGCATAGTTGAGGACATAGAAGGTTAAATTTGGCTTTTATTAATTTCATCTTAAACATCAGTGTTCCTAAAAAGCGTTACTGTGTACGGTTCAATGTTCTTCCTAGACTTAAATGTAAATTAATTTTATAGATTCGTTATATTCTGTCCATTAATTTCACTATTTGATTGTTGAATTGAACTGATATACTTAATAATATCGATGTAGTAAAACAATCGAACTACATATTTACGTTAATTTTTGGTCTCAAGATTTTTAGTTCTCAAACATTTCATCTGCTGAAAAAGTTGTTGTTTATTATGTCACCATATTTTCTATACTGCGACGCCGTTATTGATAAATATATCAGTCAGTTCCTCGTAGGTAAAACTTTCCAAGTGTATAAACGACACAACTGAGGTATTAAAATTGAAATTGTTTTATAAAATTAAAGTTGACTGATATTGTATAAAACAGTATATCTAGAATGGTGACTCCTGAATATTTTTTATGTCATCAACTTTGTATACCTTTTTTATAACATCGTGATGTGAATCATAGCATGGAACGAAACAATTTATTAGACAATATTTTCTGATTCAGTTCTACCATGCTGTCTCGTGCTGTTTTGAGGTTTTTAGCCGTTCCTTGTTAGCTCGTTAGTTGTAAAATTATTTTTTTATATTAACTGTAATATTTAACAATCCGGTGACAGAGTAATAATGTACTCGGAAGGTACAGAGTAAATCACGTAACTCGATCCAACTTAGTGACTGTATTTCTCCCTTTTAATTAAATTTGTTCGTTTAGTTCCGAACAATATCTTTAATTTAATGTAAAAATTATTCTTGAAGATATGGAAGATTAGTTATATTTCCTTATTTTTAATACATTCCTATATTTTTTAGTCTTTTGTCTTTCAGTAGGTATAAGAACAAACATTTTAAATGAAATTCAAGTAATATGACTTTTACTTATAGTTCACTCTACGAACGCAACAATTTGAAAGCTTAATGTTCAATTCAATCTGAAAACACGAAAATAACGAAGGAGTATCCTTCAACAAAATTTTACTTTATAATTCAATTTTAATCGAATTAAAAAGATCTTCCACTACTTGTAAAATTACAAAACTGTTTTAAAACGCCTACAGGGATTCTTGCAAACTTTCAAGTAAAATTATTAATAACGCCAATATTCCGTAACCTGAATCTACATTGCCAGTAAATATCCTAAAATATTATGAAATGTAAATTTTTATCTCGGAATATTCATGAACCTCACAATGGCGTTCCAAATAACTTTCTCAAAGATCTTGAGCATGACCACTGATATCGTAAACCGAGAGGAAATAACAAGACAAAAGCGTTTTAAATATTTCTGCATAAGAAATGATCCAGTTTATTGAATAAAAAATTGAAAGAAAAAATGATTTCAATATCGAAGACGATATCACGGTTGTACGAGAAGAAATTCGCAAGGATCTCCGAAGCATCGCAATTTTCGAGGTCTGTAATTCATAATTACAAAATCACCGTTAAAATTGTTTCAATATCTCAGCGAATATTGGGTTCCGGAATATAATCGTCGCAGTTACGTGTACGTGTCGTCGAACGGTATCATTACGCACGCTCGTGACCCACATTTACCTAAGAACCACGGGTGCGCCGGTCTTTACTTTGCTTTTATTTAATAAGGTGTATCTATATGTATTTAAATGCCATACTAATTACTGTAAATACCGCGAATAAACGTGTATCTATATCTATATATATATTATATATATATAAATATAAATATTCTATGTACTTAATTTGCCGACATTCGAATGCGAAACTATTGACAACGAAATCATTCGCGTTGATCTCATCGGCTCTCCACGAAAAAAAGGAAAGAAGGAAATGTAAAAGCTATCACTAATTACGAAATAACAATTCAAACATGGAAAAACCGTTCGAATAAGACATTTTATTATTCGAATGATTATTCCGGTTTGAACTCGGCCGAAGTCTCGCGCCGCTTCTGTCGCTAGTGACTGTTCCGGTTACGCTATGAGTTTAAATAAAAAAGAATAGTTTCTAATCAACAAGACACTTGCTACAATAAGTACCGTTTCGATTGATCTAATAAAATGTTTATTACATAAAAGTAAAACGAGAATCATTATTTATTTTCATATCTATTAATACACAATTTACCTTTATCGAGTCAGATTCCTTCCACTGCACATTCCTAACATCTTTTCAGTCAAAAGTAATAAAAATAAGTCTCTGTAGCTATTATTATTTACTATTTATTATTACTTACTTATTAGTATTTATTATCTATTATTCATATCCCTATTACTTACAAAATATAAAAAATATATATCCGATTAAGTCGTCCGCTCAGAAAATCATACGAACCATCTTACACTCCCAAAGAAAAAAATAACATACGTGTGGTATTTTTAATTTCTCGCGTTATAATTATGGCATAGGAACGATGCAAATGATACATAAAGACTACCGTCTACTAATATGTAAACATAACTTTTACTGAGTTTTTTTTTCAACAAATACTCTTAGTAAAAATACAAATACGTAAATGAATACAGACAAAATGATAGCACGTCTGAAAATATTCCATGTTATATAAATTTAATATACATGAATATGAAAATGATATAACTGTGCCTGTGTTTAATAATGTGTGGGACCTTCATGATTCTCAATTACTTCTATCATCCTTTTTGGTAAGGATTTATACAGTACTTTAATCGAAGATTGTGATAAATTTTTCCATTCCTCTTTAGTACAGATTTTTAAATCATTTAAATTTTCAAATTGTCTACCTTCTGCGTAGATAGCTTTTGATAATAATCCCCAACAGTTTCCAATTATATTGAAGTCCGGGGAGCATGTTGGCCATTCCAAAACAGAAATTTTCTCCTTTGAAAGATATTCATGTACAATTTTTGCCGTGTGTGTGGCAGCATTACCTTGCTGGAACACAAATTTTGTACCTACAATGCATTGTGCATACTTATCAATTTGGTTTTTAACTAACCTCAAATAACTTGTACCATTCATTTTTCCTTGTATAAAATTAATATCCATTTTCCTTTTGTAACATGTGCCGGCCCAAATCATTTTTCTACCTCTTTTCATTTTTCGTCTAATTTTTGTTAATTGTGCTTTTCGAATATCATGATAATAGTATGCACTACTATCTCAACCATCCAGCAAAACCATTTTTCATTTATACAGATTACATTTCTCCTGTGTATGTGTTTTTTCGCAAATTCAAGGCGTGCTTCTTTACGCTTCTTTGTTAATCGTGGCTTGGCTTTTATTTTTGATCGATTTATAATATTACTCATTTGCTGCACACGTCAAACATTTTGAATATTAGTATGTACACCAGCTTTGCAAGCAATTTCTCTTGCAGTAGTACAAGACTTTGATGCAGCACGAAGTATTGCTGTTGTGTCACAGTGTGATAGGGCTGCTGGCTTACCAGTGCTTTTGTTTTTACCGTAGTTATCCACATCTTTTAATACGTTATATACAGCTTTTCTGCTTCGATTAGTATCTTTCGCAATTTCTGTAATCGTTACTTTCCGTTTTCTTAAAATAAGAATTGCGTTTATTTCACTGTCAGACAATCTTTTACCACAAACCATCGCGAAATGCGACAGATACCAATATCAAGAAGCACTAAACACTGATTGACCATTTTAACTTCCTTAAACTTTGCGACATATTGAAGAAAATGAGAACAAACCTTATGTGTGCTATAACTTTGTCTCTGTCTAATTGTGTGTTTACGTTCATCCTAAGAGAATATCTTGAAGAAATTCCAATATAGGTAGTGTTTACATATTAGTAGAAGATAGTCTTTACGTATCATTTGCACCTTTCCTGTACCATAATTATAACGTGAAAAATTAAAGATAGCTCGCGTGGCTATCTTTTCCTTTAGAAGTGTACATGAAGGTAATGGTAATTAACAACTAATAAACGAATTCAAAAGAATTCAGAATGATTAGTTCAATAATTTTCATTATATTAACATTTAATTATCATATTATCGAGGCACAGCTGTACGAAATAAAGGCCATGGTCAAACATTGTTTCGGAAACGTATTAACTTACGAATACGAAACGAGAAAGAGAATAGAGCTTTCGCCGTAGGGCAGCCACGGTTCGGTTAGGACTCGAGAACAAAAATAAAATTCGCCGTGCAACGGTCGGAATGTAATCATTAACCAGACAATAGAGTTTCCGTGGCTTTCCGATATAAAAATTTGATAGGTTCCAAACGATATATGCAATATTTGCTTTCGACTTTTCTCGTCAACCGCACGCGAGCCGTGCATCCCGTCCAACAACCTTTCGCTCGAATAAGTTTCGCAATCACATACATATCTCAGCCGTATAATTACCAGCAGTTCCTTATTTCCTAGAACACGGAACGAACGATAGAATCAAAAATGACTATGCACGGAAAAACTCAAAGGAAACGTTAACACCACTCGCGTTAGAAAAAAGTGTTTCTTTGAATTACGTGTTTCTCGCTATTGAATAACTAATTGTAAGACTTTAGGAAATCTATAGCACTAATATTTTTTTATAGTGAATTTTTCTAGAATTTCTACAACTGTTTTCAGTAATTATTAAAATACAGATTTTATGCACTGATGTATATCATAGCATTTACTAGTGTGTCAAATATAATTAAATAAAAAGCATAATAAACGTTTCACTTTTAGCCTTACTTTGAATGCAATACAATTGTGAATAGAATAAATAAATTTCTTTTCTGCATCAGCATTTACAAATATTTGTATATTTTTTTCGAGAAATTCAATGTATATTCTTTTTATATAACTTTCTGACAATATTCTGATATCTGGCTCCTCCATTTCTAAGCTTCAACATACCTCGAATTTATTTCAAAACAACGGTAAAAAAGGGAACAATGAAAGCTTATTAAAAGCAACTTTCAGAGTGTGAAACTAGAACAAAAATCAACAACCACGTTCGTATCCTCAACTTATTAACCCCTTGCCTTAGCAACGTGTCAGACTCGTGGTCTAGACTTTTAAAAAGTATTTAAAAAGAATAAATATTACTCAATTCTCTTAAATTCAAATTGCACATTATTCTTGTTATCAATAATTATATTTTAGAGCAAACACAGACGCAGAATATTCCTAGAACTTTTCTCTTTTTCAAATAAATTATTAATAGCAAAGTAGTCGTATCAATCATAGTTAAAAAATAAATCGTAAAGCGAAGATAGACGAATTAACTCATCAATAATGCCTTCATTTCGCTAACTTTTACTTTTCATACTCATTGTATAACCAACTTTTACATCCAACTACATCACATTAATATAAACGACCCATCATTTTCGTCTATTGAAGCAAAAACCTTCATTGAATTCATTTTATTCGCTTTCATTTGTGCCATGATGATTAACAATGGGTATGATCAAGAATTCATCTCATTAATAGATTAATTAATAAATGGCTCCAAGTTTGGATGAAAAGAGGTGAAGAAAGTAGCGTACTGCAGAGGAACATGAAGGACAAGGGGAAGAAAGGTGGACGGGGTTGGAGGGGGTTGGTTAGAGGAGCAGGAGAGAGCAAAAGAGCTCGGAACCGCGTTGATCACGTAACCGCGGGAATAAGGGATAAAGCGCACAAACGTCATTGCCTCAGGCCCCGTTTCCATGGTTACCGTGAACTCAATATCCGCGACGCCTGAGGCTAGCATAGGCCGCGGGCTGTCATCCCTCGAACTTGCCGAGCGGAGCGGCCGACGCTCCGATACCATCCCTCCCCCTCTCTTTTTTTCTCGGTCTCTTTCTCCTCACTTCTATTTCCTTTCTTTCTTTATCTTTTCTACTTTTCTACCTTATTGTTTCCGTCATATTCTTTATGACCGCCTCCTTCCACCGGCAACCCTCTGCATCTTTCTCAGGATCATACCATCCCGCCGTTTCTTGCTTCTCTCCTATCAGGTCGGGTCGGTGCATGCAAAACCACTGGCTGCGGATAGAGTGAATCGTAAAAGATTCGTGGTCCCTTAATTGTTCACTTCGAATCAGTGAGATAGATTTATAACGGGAAATTATTATTATTTTCATACTTTTATAATGAAAATGTATGTCGTATTATTTTAAGTAAGCTTCTAATGGGTGCAAACTTGATAGTGAAACGGCTGAAAAGAGTAAGAATTCAGTGCAGTGAGAGTATGAATTTAAGCTTTCCATAAGGGCACGTTTTCGTTTTTAATCATACATTTTGTTAGAAAAGTAATAACGGTTTACACGTACTGTAGTTAAGTACTTTTCGCGAGTATCAGGTGTAATCGTATTTCATTCACAAAGAGTTAACAATTACTTAAAGAGAGCATTAAAGCTAAGTGAATCGTCACAGAAATACTATCACGTGTACTATGGACTTTTTACATGCATTCAATAAAAAATAAGTAAAATTTTCATAGTTCAAAGGAAATTGATTCGTAAATAGCATATCAAAAGCATATCTCATTGACGTACAGTGCATTTAATAAATAGAAGTAAGTAACAATATATAATAGAAGTAACAATATATAATAAAGGTATTAAATCACACAGATCCATAATAAATTAACACAATAAATGAACTTTAAGAAAATCAACTATGTATTTGAGAAGAAAAAGTAGTTATTAAAGCGATAAAAAAAGTAACCTCAGTAATGAAGTTCATATCATTCGTTTGACACGCATTTCGAATTAGATTGACCAAAACAAAATAACAAATTAATTAATAATTCAGTCAAATTAATCATTTTTTATACACCAACCTAATGTGAAGTATTATATTTTGACGCAATAAATCCTTCCAATCTTTAGTTCTTCCAATCCCTTCCTATTTCTGGCTATCCCTTCGCCTGTCCTCAGTTTTCAGTCCACTTCTATCCTCTCTCTCGTCCATTCGTCTCTGCAACCTACCTCCCTCTCTACACTCTTCCTCTTTCTTCCTCTCTATTGCACATTTTACCACCAGACTCTCGACGCGTTCTCCGTCTCCGTCAAGCGCTAGCTTGATTATATTCCATTTCTGGATCACCCCGGGGC